ACGCCAACACCAGTGCGGCCAAAAAGAGAGAGCTGAACCCTAGAATTCTGGACTGAGATGTGTGTTCTTGGATGCATCTGGACGGCACCGGCAACAGGGTATGCCCGCGGATTTGAGGCCACCCAAGCTGAAACACTTTCTTAGAGCCGACATGAGCCGACCAAGTAGTTCAACTAGTTGCCATCGTCGCTGCTGGGCGCCTAGTGTCTTGTGTTGGATTTTATTGTAGTTGCTGCTTTGGGCTACCGCCACACCGGGGCGTCGCGGACGGAGCTCATTTGCTTCTCATGCTCATGCAGTTCCTTTCTGATGTACACCTCAATACTCTCCCCGAGGTCCGCCAAGTATCCCAATCAAAGATCCCATCATGTGTGGTACCCCCCGTGTTCCTGCTCATTCTCCTCGGGGTGCTCTTCAAAAGGCCTCTCCCTCCTCATTCTCAATGGAAAGCACCTCATGCTCATACCTATTCCAAGTAGGAATCGGTTTCCTCGTTTGGTGCCACACCTTTCTATGGCTCCTCTTGGCCTATGGTTTCTTCCCAAAGATCTCATCCCATGTGCAGGGGGGTTCACTCACTCTTCCCATCTCTTTCCAAATGTGGCTTTAACACCCATAACAAACCTGATGAATGGTGCTCCTCATCAAAACAAATCTTGAGACGGATGCCGGGATGCCTGAGATTTTGTCTTAAGGACCCATCCCCATGAAAAGGTTCTTTGAGAAAAAACGAACATTCTCTGCAAAAAAGGGGTGGAAGAACTTGGTGACCCTGGTGACACCCTGGTGACACCCTGGTGACACCCTGGTGACACCCTGGTGACACCCAGGTCAATCTCCCAGCGAGGCTCGACACCTCGCCCTGGTGACCCGTCGCACCCGCGGAGGCTTCGGGCTGCAGTCGAACGCGGCGCTGGCTGGGCAGATGACCGAGACGGTCAGGCGCCCTCCGCGGTCGGAAGGACGACAGGCGACGTGAGCTTCGTCGCGACGGGCGAGGGACGAGAAACGCACGGCATCTGCGTGGAAAGTGTGTGTGTGTATGTGTGCGTGTGTGACCAGCTTCAGGGGTGGTATGATGTTGGTAGATATTTGAAGACATGTTGATTACTTGAGGCACACGAAAACTATGTCAAATTTAATTGATTTGGCCTTTGCCATGAAACATCCAGCCTCATGAGGCTGGTGACATGTTGTGTACCGATTGAGAATGTCCATTTCAGACATGGGTCATGCCATCGTTGGATTATATCCAGATACAAACGTGCATACCGTTTCACCCTTGTGGTGGCCACACACCACGGCCACCCGAGCACGCACAGCCCGATGAGGTTGGTGCAGATCATCGCGCAAAGCACCGAGCACTTGGGGGAGAAGCTTTGTGACGAGGCGGGGAGAGGCGAGTGGAGACTGGGCTTCCCTGGTTCTCCCGACTCGCAGCTTTGCATTGCTTTGCATGAGGCTACCAAAGAGGTGAACATCAGTGTTGATGCCGTGGGGTTCAGCGTGTACTGTTGAGATCTGTTGAGAACTTGGAGCCCGGAGCCCACCGTCGTTGTTCAGCAGTCTTTTGCAATGTGGATTTGCTGTTGTTTGGTAGCTCTTCTCTTGAAGAGGGGAGGTGAACATCACACGAGTCTTGATGGATTTTGGTTTTGACATTGCAGTGATGACTGTTAGTGCGGTTCAACACCCTGAAGAAGAATCAGTACCGCTGATGGACGCGTTCTCCTGTACCTCAGATACCGGAGCCGGAGCTCGAGACAATGGATCACCTGTTTTCATAGCGGAGCAGGGGATTGCGTTCCCAGCCGAATTCGTTCTGTCAGCAATTTAGTGGTAGGAAATCACACGGTTCCCTTTGGGATTTTCCCTCGGTCATCCAGCAAGACCATCTGAAACCAGGTGTTCTATGGTCTTCTGGGTTGGAGGCCCATTGGGCCACAGCGGCTATGGACATGAAAACACATGTGGAAAATGGTGGAAACACCTGGCATTTTATTGTGTCGCAATGCAGGGATATTGAAATGAGCGCTGATTCCTTCGAGCGGATTCAATTCACCCAAAAAAAAACGGAGGAGATCGGTTGGTCGCTCGTTCTTCTTTTACTTTGTTCTGCATGCAGACGCTCCAATAAGTCATCCAAACCCTTGGCCTCTCAAAAGCCATATTACCAGATGCTCCATGTAATATATGACAACATTGACCCCTCTTCAACCAGCCCACAATGTATGGATTCATAGTCCCATTTGTCGCGTCTAGGATAGGGCTCGGCCCCCTACTGAACGGAGGCTCCCCCCTCCTGCGACATCGCGTGGTGACTCGGTCAAGACGGAAGGTGAGCGATCGACAAAAGGGAGACGCAACTTGGCCCAGTTCGGGTGGGACGGAGTGGTCGATGGGAGTGGAGAGTGGCCAGGTGCGGCACGTGATGGTTCGACCCGTGCTGCTCTTTGTGGTATAATCCTAAAGGAAAGGAAAATAATAAGTAAAAATAAACCCATAATAGAGAGTATTATTGACCAAAAACCCATAATAAATAGTATTATTTTCAGAGATTGGGATGCCCTTCTCCAGTCTAGACTGGAGGGTTGAAAAAAATATCCGACCGATGATCTGTAGATGGCGAAGAACAAAGGTGCCACCAACCCAAAGCCAACAAACCCGACCCAACTCAGGAGTGCATTCTTCACTTCTTTTCGTCCATTGCATTTTGCTAGCAGGCATTGCCCATGAAAATTATGAAACAAGAACCCAAACAAGGGTCATTGCGGGGTCGAGCAGGGTTGAGCCATTGGAGTAAAGAAGGCGGTCTGAACTGCAGAAAACTGCCACTAGATTTGGAAATTGAAAAAGCACTTGTGGCAGTGGACACACGGCAGTTAAAATCGACACTACAGTTTTCAAGATGGAGTTCAAAACCCCTACATATACAGTATTATACAGTATAGTATTATATTAGTCCAATGACTGACTCAGAAGGTATCTATTTGGACCCTCCTGGCACTCACCCCAGTAGCCCGATTCCACCGGGAACTGCTCGACACGAAATCCACCGCGTGACCGGACGCGCTCCGTGACGCGCGACGCGTTCCGCCGAGGTAGCCTTGTCTCAGCGCCTCATCTCGGTGACTCGTCGGACATCGAGCGAGCGAGCGAGAGCAGCATCGATGGGGAGCGTGGAGCATGCTTGACTCGAGCGAAGGGTTGACATGGCCACCTGGAGGGTTTTAGATGGTCCCCCTGATGAGACCAAGAAGGGTGCCCCTGCTTGAGGAAGTTTTGCAATGCATTGAAGGGACCATACAATACCACTCCCTGCACACGGCTTCCACAGGTATTGTGACCAAGATGCTCCCTTTTGCGCCCTGAAGCGGGGCAATGGGCAATTTGATTTGGGGGCTTTCTGTTCCAGTAGCAAGGTCAATGCTACTCTACCAGGAGTCACAAAGGGGTGCCGAACTTGGAGGAAGTCGGAGTGCCCAGCTACTCCACTCACTGGATGGGACTAAAAAAGCCACCCAACTCCATGTGACTCCTGTTGGAATCATCGAAGTGGAACACTCCCTGAGGCCAAGGCCCTCCAGGCCATCCACTTCGATTCCGGATTCGTGTAGCACGCCGTTCGCGGCACAAACACCAGCGGCCTGCGGACCAAGCAGCCACCAAGTAGGCTGTCGGCCACCGGTCGTTTCAGGTGCTTCGTGAGTGCCAAGCGCTATTGCAGGAGTTACAGTAGCTGCTGTTGTGAAATGAATGATGCACAATGGCTGCAAGATCTTCGGGGGCCAACGTGAGTGGAGGACATCGTCTTGGAGCAGCGGCTTCACCAGCAGTGCGCCGCCTACAGGCTGGAAGATGAACAGAGTAGTGGGAAAATGTGGGAAATCTCCAGCTTTTGGTGGCATCATGTCGTGTCTCTATGGAGCGCGGAAATCCGCGCTCCACACCTCCTCACCAGTCCACCTGTGTGTTTGTCAACTTTTGCTCACCGTCAGTCGTTGGATGCCGTTGGATCGTGCTCACGGACGGTGGAATGATGCAAGCCTTGTCGATCGTGGTCAGCGAGGTTGGAAGCCGTTCGCGCCCTGATTTTCGAGTCGAGGTTCATTGAGGCTTCCCTCAACGGATCGTGTGCACAAGACGCCCAAGTTGTGGTCATCCTTGAACAGTACAAGCGGTTTTGGCCTTGCAGGATAGCCACAGGCGTCCGAGCTCAGCTCCTGGAAGAGGTGAAAGCCAACGACCAAAAGACCAGAACATAGCAAGAAGCTCGGTGTGACATCGGTCCATGTGTGGTCTCCCACATGTGCGACCCAGACCAACCGTGCTTCTTGGTGGATCGGCGGTGTGTGCATCGCTTGTGGCCCAACGTTGTGGACTGAGAGCCAGGTCCATCCCGAACCACCGAGCCGTGGTCGAACGGAACCAAAAACACCAGCAGGCCCAACGAAACTACCATTATATCATGGTGTGTTTCACCATGGTTAATTACAGTAAAACAAAGTTGATGAACAACAATGCTTCATGATGCTTCATGTGTCCCTAAAATATTGCTTAGTGTTTCCAGGCTTAAATAGTGTTTCCACAAAAACTCGTACGGGATACGTATAGGGTGTAGCCACCAGGACCAGTCTGCCAGGACCTGCAGTCTAGATGATCACCTCTTCTTGAGATGGAAAGGCCTGCAACCGTCGGCCCTTGACCAGGATATACCCAAGGATACATCGTTGAACTGAGTCACGGTTTGTGCCCAGTCACGTGCCCAGCCGCTCAGGTGGAGAGATGCCTCGGCGAGGCCGCGGCGGGAAGTGAGAAAGCAACGATGGAACATCGAGGAAGAACGATGGACTAAAACGAGGAACATCCTTGAACATGGGAGCAAATGGTGAGATGTTTAAGAAGACTGGATATATGAGTGACATGTCATGCTATGTCATTTTGTCCAATCCTTTCTTTGGGCAATCCGTACATCCACTTGAGTGCACTGACTGTCAGTTTGCCCAAGCGGGGCAGGAGTCAGCTGTGTCGCAGCACCTGTGTTGCAGAAAAGCAGGTTGTTTTTCCTTGGGTAACTACTTTCAGGTGCAGCCTTTCTTTTCTGTCGATCGACAGGTCTTTCTTGATTTTTCGGTGAACTCATACAGCGGAGCTCCCATGTCACGAGTCCATCGTTTGTGCGACATGTTGGTGGAGTGATTGTACTTAGACTGATACATCGAGTTCGACCGAGTGCTACGCCCGCCATGTCCAGAGAGTGACTTCGACTTCGACGACTTGGATGAGTTTCAAAATAACAAAATTCACACCGCACTTCAGTACTTGGCACTTCTTTCAGATCACACTCAGTGCTTGTAGATGCTCCGTGCTAAACCCCAAGACTTGGTTGTGCAAAGAGTTTCATCCAAACTGGCTCACTCACCCATGTGCGACGTCCACGCCCAATCTTCAGATGACTGAGAAATTTATACGCAGATAGGCAGTGTACCAGTGTACCAGTAACAGTCTGTACAAGATGATCACTTTGTTTGAGATGTTGGCCTGCAGCCTAACCCTCATCATCCGCTGGACCCTTTACTAATATGGTGGATAGAGTTCAGTGAGTTTCCTTTCAAAAGGTCTCACAGTTCAGTGATTTCCCTTCCCAGACACTCCATGTATGGTATGCATTGACCTCTGAATCAAACCACCCCAAGGTATGGATTCATATGCCAGTCCCAGACACCTGGCGTTGTTCCAGTCCCAGACACCCACGCGACGACCGTGCGACTCCACCGGTGCCTCTCCGGGAGCCGCTCCTCCTCTCCGTCCGATGTGACGCAGGTGGCCTCTTTCTCCGCACCTTCGGAGGTGCCGGGCAGCGGCAGCGGTCCGTCGAGGGTTTCTTTTTCCACAGTTCGCATCGTGCGAACCGAAACCAGAGAGTCTGGACCCGAGGACCGTGAGCTCGGGGCTTGGGATCCAAGACAAAGGTTCGTAGCTCGGGTCGCTCGATGTCGCGGCCGGGTCGCCTCTCATTCGTCCGCGGAGCGCGGCTGAAATGGTCCGACCCTGAGGAGTCGGCGCGACCGGTTTTGGAGGAAGCACCGGTATGAAGAAACACCGAGATGCTGGCAATGGCACAGCGTTATAATCTTGGTATTTGGATAGGTTGTAATACTATAAGTGGATTGCCCATCTTGAAACCATGTGGCTTGAGACTCCGAGCATGAGAAGGTGCTAGTCAAGGATGACCCTGTTGATAGCAATTAATGACCTCTGTCTTGTTGCCACTTGGTCTCCTGCTTTTGTAGCTTCCCAGCCTAACAAGTGTCCAACTGAACTTACAAATACAAAGCACTAAAACTTCAACGCTGACAAACGATGCTGCGCGGCAACTGGCCAA